TCCACCTTGTCGCCGTTCGCCTCGCCGCGCCGCCGCCTTCGCCCTGCCGCCCGCGCCGGCTCGGTCCCACTGGCGCGCCACCTTGCCTCCCGCCGCCCGCGTCGCACTGCTCCGCCGCCTCCTGCGCACCCCGCCGGCGCCGCCGCCTCGCCCGTCGCCGGAGCGTCGCCGGATCCGCCGCCCCCGGATCGGGACAAGATCCACCAAGTCCGGCAACCAAACGCCGTCCCGAACCGCGCCATCCCACTGAACCTCTCTGTCCATTTACCCCGTGGTGAGAATTCTGCTAAGTCCCTAAAGTCTTATATTCTGGTGCTACCTTTGACCTGCCGTAACTTTGTGCTCGCGGCTCCGTTTCATGCGCATGATATACAGAAATGTTCATCATGATGTGCTCTTCATTTTATTCCATTGTGTCATACTTGTTTGAGTCCATCTTGATGCCCAAATCGTTGATGCAAGAGTGCTATAAAATGTTAGTTCTTGTTACTTATCAGTTTATGAGCATTTGCCATTTTTGCAGCAATTGTTGTGTGTTGCCTATGGGCATGAGCTCTACATGTGTTTTGGTCTATGCCATGCCATCTTTACATGGGTGTATGCCATGTATTTTTGTGATCTTTGTGGTGACTAGCACATGCATGCAAAGTAGCTCTCGTGATATTGCTGATTTCAGAGACTTAGAATTTCACTAAGTCATTGCTCTACTGTTATTTTTTATGCCATGTATTCATGTTGCTACAGTGAGATCCATGATTTGTTTGAGTATGTTCAGTAAGGATGATTTTGACATATGGTTATGCTCTATCCATCCATGCCCCTGTTTGCAATTATGGAGTGCCCTAGCATGACTTGATCTTGCTCTATTTTTGCTATAAAATGTTCCTGGCAGATTGTTTACATGTTAATCAATTTTGCCATGGTTATTGTAGTTGATCCATGCATGATATAAACTTGCTCTTGCCTTGGTTAGCTTGTTGAACATGTCTTCTTGATATTGCTATGCTTATCTTGTCATGCAAGGCTTTGTGATGAGTGAATCGAGCTCGCAAAGATGCCTTCGTAATTCTGTTTATGCCATGCCCAGTTTTTTGCAAAGTCTGAATCTGTTAACGAAACTTGCTATGTTTATATGGGCGCCATCATATCTTCTGATCCTTTTTGGCTTATGGTCAGTAAGGGACTTTTGTTCTATGCTTTGAGTAGATTCACGACATGCCTTGTTTTGCTATGATATGTTCATGTAGCATGTTGCTAGCTTGCTCTAAACATTGCTTCCTGATGTTAATTCCTGGCATGTTGTTATTTTCACTAAGTCTGTGATGCTATTATCTTTTGCACTTTTGCCATGCTTGTTTGAACTTGCTCTTGTGTGATTTAGCCGTAGCCCAGTGTTCATCTTTTGTCAAGCATCTTGAGTAGATCACTGCGATGTGCCTTCTTGCTATGTTGAAGTGCAGTAGCTTAGTTTCTTGTTGCATTCCAGATGGCATCATACTGTTAATCGCAGAATTGTGTCATTCTTGTTTTGCTTGCCATTTGCAAACCGTGCATCCGATTCCGGTGATCTTTATATTGATTTCGACCGAAAATCAACTCATCTTTCCAGCGGCACACTTGGTTTGCCAAGTTGATGCTTGATCAATCTTTTCCTTCCGGAGCACGCATATGCATTGCATATTGCATCTCGCATATCATGCCATGTTTTGCATCATGTTGCTTGCGCATTGCACCGTGATTGATTGTTGGTCCTTTGCTTGTGTTCTTGCTTTGGGTAGAGCCGGGAGACTAGTACGTGATCGAGGAATCTGTTGAGTACGCTTGCGAGGATCAAGCTTTCATCAACTCTGAGAACTTTGCAGGCAAGATGACCATACCCTCGAAATCACTTTTATTTTTGCTTGCTAGTTGTTCGCTCTATTGCTATGCCGCGATACCTACCACTTGCTATATCATGCCTCTCATATTGCCATGACAAGCCTCTAACCTGCCTGTCCTAGCAAACCGTTGTTTGGCTATGTTACC